CAACAGTAGCATACCACTCCAGGGATAGGTACCTACCGCTGAACAACTGTAGATCTCGGCGCTACTGGTCTGAGGTCATGAGTTCGGTTAAGCCGGTCATTAAAGATTTTATTTGTTTTCTTCTAAACATGCAGTACATTGTGAGTTTTGTGATGTAATACAAATGTCCCTTCATTATTTGTCTTGAGAACTTGTATTAAACTGCAACAATTATGTATTGTATGTCTATTGTTATTCTTTTATTTGTTGGGAATTAAATGCAAAAGTATTGGGTTGTATTACCCTTTGTAAATAAACGGTAACATTATGGCATAAACCTTAAATCACGTAAAACCCAGTCATCCTACTATCACATACCGTAATCCAGTATACGGTAAGATACCATAAAAGTAAATTACAGTAGCTTCACCGTAAAAAACCCTGCTGCCAGTAAGTTACTGTTATTTTATGATGAAGTTGTTTAGAGTGTACTGTGTTATCACTCATTGCCTCCCTATGACACTTACATAAGTGTTATGTTTGCTCATAAGTACATTACAATGTGTTCAAAACATTTTTACATGCTGATTTTAAATGCAAAATATAACCTCCTTCTGCTCACCCACCTGAGATCAGTTAGAGGTGATCTTCTGTCATTTATGAACGCTTTCAGTCGAGCGATGAGTTGTTCTCTGGCAGCTTTCAATGCCTCTCTTTTGTATTTGTACTAGAAGCAAGGTGTTAGTTTTACATAGAGTGGTGAAGGAGACACACACCTGTCACTCACCTGTTGAAACCACACATCATGGGAACAAGTTTGACTACGTTCATTCTTCTTGTTGCCATGTTGAACAATGATGGAGAGACAAAGGGAGTGAGGTAAGAAAAATGAGGTGGAGATCCTGGAGGGAGGCGACAACAGCTGTTGTACATCCTGTTTGTGTGTGTGTGTGTGTGTGTGTGTGTGTGTGTGTGTGTGTGTGTGTGTGTGTGTGTGTGTGTGTGTGTCTTAATCCCCTAGAAAACGGTCACATAGAAAAGAGTGTCTCTTTCTGTCCATCAATGTGACAACAGTCAAAGCTACGGACGAAGTATTAGATATTGATAAGGATCACTTATGGTGAGAGGGAGTGAGGGAGGGGTAGCGCTTTAAGTTCAAAATATCTAAACGTTTTGGAAAAGCGCTGGTGATGTCACCACAGAAAACGGAGGAGAAGCTTGTTGTGGTCGTGTTTGTCTGTCTGGTTTCAAAGTCAGACGGACAATATCACGACAGCGACCGACAAGCCCACTTGTGGGAGCAGATCGGTCGGGTAGAGACTGAATGTTGCTGGTGAGTGTCGTGCTTTTATTACCGTACGCCTCATCTTCTGTTACGGCCTGTCAGAGCGGTGACGCCAAGGACAAAAACAAAATTGGCCACGTCCAAAAAACCAAGATGATGCGGCTAAAAACCAAAATGGCCACGTTCAAAAGACCAAGCTGATCTGGCGAAAAAACTAGATGGCGATGACCAAAAACCAATATGATGCGGCTAAAAACCAAAATAGCGATATGGTCATATACACATCGCATTTAACGTTAAAATCACTCAAAATAGCTTATAATGTGTTTAGGGTTCCGACCTGCAGCTCTACATATTCTGGTTCTACGTCCGTCCCCTCCCCCCTCCTCTCCCCTCCACATACTGGACCCCAAAATCCCTCCAGACCTCATCCACTTCAAACTAACTCTAAACTCAAACAGGATTCAGGTCCTTTCCACCACACAACTGAACCGAAAGACGTGATTCCTTACACACTGAAGAAGATTTTCTAAACGTCCTGAAGGTCCTCAAGGTAACGATGCACATTTCACTCATTCATTCATTCATGTGTTGTCTGTTTTTAGAGGATATTATTTGCCTAATGCACATTGCATTAATAACAATGCAATAAAAACAATAAGAAAACAAAGAAAAGTCAACAAAAAAGTCAAAAAATATTAAATTATTATTATCTTGAATTTAAAGACAAGATTTAATTCAATGTTTTAGCTACTCCATATTTAATCAGTGACAGATTAAAAAAATTGACTTGAATTTTGTTGTTCGACCTTCATTCTGTAGACACACCTTAAAGTACAATATGTACCTCTGAGATGTAGTACAGTATGAAGTACAA